TTATATTTGAAGGACTTGTTTAATTAGTTGTACTTGTATTTTTTATTCGTCTGAGTAATACCCCCCCCCCCCCACACACACACACACAAAGAAAAAAGAATCACAAACCACGCGAACCATTTCTGATACCATTAGCAGCGTGCAAATGAAAATGTAACCAATGCCATTGATGACTTTGGATTCACATCTTTTTTGTTGACTCTCTTAGTAGCTTTGATTAAATGGTTTCTCAATGTTTTTTAAATTATCACCAAGTATGGTATAGTTGGGGATGCAAAATGGACACATTTTACCGTATTCGTTAAGAGGAATCTGAGGGCTGTACATGAGGTTTCAATGAGTTGCTGCTGTTTCTGTCATTAGGCTATGCTCATGGTTATCCAAATTGGTTTGAAATCTTTACATCAACTTCATATACGATTATCACCTGTGATTAAGATTTGTGATTCCTTCATACTTTGGAAAAAAGTTCCATTGGCTGTTAAAGGAATCCAAAATATTTTGATGGTTAGCTTTATTTCTCATTGTCATTTGAAGGATATCAACTCAATCATTTTCTTGTCCAATAAATAATTCAACTTCCATGTAGGGATGAGAACATTGTGGTTGCATTTGGTTTACTGGTTTGAAATTACCTTGTCATAGCACTAGGCTCATTATGCAATAAATTGGTACTACTTTAGTTCCCATACCACTTCAAAACTCAAATTTAGCGGCAATAGTGGACCAAGGATTTCAAGAAGATAGTTGCACAACTACCTTTAATAAAGATGGTTATATGGAATCTAATGGTAACGAAAACTAAACCGGTAGCTAGAATTAGTTGATTCTATCATCTCAATAAACTATAATATAGTTTATAATAAGTGGTTAGAAGTTTATTCGTGTACAGCCACTAAGAGACAAGAGCTGGTATTGTTTGGTATATTTAAAATTATGTTGAAGCTTTTGTTTGACTTAGTCTCGCAAACATGAAGTTGATCAAGAAAATGAAGGTCTGGAAGAACTTTAGATCATCATTACTGAATCTAACAAGTAAAACTTAAATTGAAAGAAAAAGTGATATATGTATAGGCAAGCCGATGCACAAAGCATACTGCATTCACGCAGGGTTGGGAGAAGGGGCGTACTTAAGGGATGTGATGTAGAGAGCTTACCCTAATGCAAGTATTAGTGGCTGTTTCCACACCTCGAACCCGTGACCTATAGGTCAGATGGAGACAACTTTGTCGTCGCTCCAAGGCTCCCATCAAAAAAACTATACATGTATAGTATATGAAATCTTGAAGAGGATCATCTCTTGGTTAGTAAAATCTACATATTCCAATCTTGAATTAAATGAAATTTGCATGGGTACAATACTTTTTCTACTGACCAGGTTTATGAATAAGTTTTACTTGTTGAAAGTGAAATCAAATGCTCATAATAGGGGTGACTATTTAAAGCTAGATTGAGAAAATAGATCAAGTTGAGCAAAATAGTGTAAAAGTTATAGAACTACTTGTTTTGTACAAATAATCAAATGGCTGCTCCTTAATTTATTTCCTTTTCCCCCGTGATTTCCTTTGATTCCTCTGTTTCCCTATTTCCTGTATTGTAGTTTGTATTATGAAACGATTATGATTACAAAAAAGATTTGGGAGCTTTATATGTTCATAGTAATCTCTAGTTTTGCTTTTTATGTTATGGAACAGGTTAAACCATGGTTAATTGTTAGGAATAGGTGTACTATTTTACGGAAAATTTCTTGGTGACAATATGCAGAGCTCATTCCTTTTATACTTTGCGTTACAGGGTTTTGCCCAACATCAATATAAATATTTACCTTATCAGATAAAGGAAAAAGAATAAAAAGCAATAGTATGATGCTTGTTAAACATTAGCATTTTCTGATTCTTAACCATGTACGTTATTAGTAGGTGCTTTTTGGGTAATTAACACCTTTTGAGTACATGCAGACGGATTGGGAAGGCGGTTTTTATCCTGTTACGATACACTTCAGTGAAGATTATCCTAGCAAACCACCTAAGTGCAAATTCCCACAAGGCTTCTTCCATCCGAATGTGTATCCATCAGGAACAGTTTGCTTGTCGATCCTCAACGAAGATAGCGTATGTGGAGTGTGCCATTTATCTGTATTATTTTCCTTCTTGTTGTCTCTGTTTACTAATATGACGGCTGTTAATTTTGTGTTTATCATGGATAGGGGTGGAGACCAGCCATTACAGTGAAACAGATACTGGTTGGTATCCAAGACTTGTTAGATCAGCCAAACCCTGCTGATCCTGCCCAAACTGAAGGGTATCATCTCTTTATTCAGGTAATTTGATTTCGTCAAATCAATTTTTTTTGCCTTCGCCAAATCACTTGTCTTACCCTCAATTCTTAATATTTCCAAAAATTTTGACATTGCCAAAAAGGTGCAACTAGACACTTTTAAAGCTTCAAGAATGGACCCATTTTTCCTTATAATACACTAAACTTTCAAAGTTCATATTGACACTCATGGAGGGTCGTCAGATGAGGTAGTTTAAAAGGGGATATATGGACTACTAATTTAACCATGGTGAGTCGAGTCGAGTCCACTTAGCATGGGATAGAGGAGTATTATCTCATGTCTTACAAAGTTGGCATGATTAGCAGTGCTTCAGCTTCGTTATGTCACAATAAAAATCCTATCACCTATGCATTGAACATAAAAGTGTAGATCTGGCGTTTATTGGTGGTTATCCTATCACCTCGAGTCTCACCGCCACTGATTTATCAAAAAAATAAAAATATTAATTTTCACGTGCTTGAGCGGTGAAAAAAGAAACGAGGCTCACACGTGAGGGGTCATGTAGAAGATTAAACTAAGTGTTTAAAGGTTTGCCCTCTCTAGCAGTTTAAGCTTGTAAATGAGATGATTGATCATGGATGAGTTTATGCAGGATGCTATTGAGTACAAGAAGCGGGTTAGGCTGCAGGCCAAACAGTATCCACCTCTGGTGTAGTCTAAATAATGTTCGTATGATCGTATTGTGGTTCTAATGCAACTTCAAACTATGGTATTCATAGCCTGCTGATAGCTGACAATCTTCTGGCAAATGATGCTGACTTGGTTTTTGTTGCAGTGGCAAAGTAAAATATTATAGTTGGAAGTTATACCTGATTCTGCTTCTCATTGTTCTCAATCATTATGTGTATAACAAGCGGAAGTTACAGTTGTTTCGGACAGCGGAAACATGTCAGACATTGTTATTTTCATTCCTGAAATGAGAGTTCATTAACTATAGCTAGTTTCTTCTTCTGCGTTATCTCATTATACTCTCTGTGCTTTTGGTCCCAAGTCAGTTCCCTTTTCTTTTGATTTAACTTATATCCGTCTAATTTAGTTTGTTATATCCGGTTTTTGCTCTAGGTTACTAGTTCCCCTTATTATTGATAGTTAGTTACCTGTAGTTATTTTTTAGGTAAAGTTTCTTTTAAAATGTCGGTGTATAGAAGTTAAGTTGTTTCTTCTACCTTCTTATGATAAAAAAGGAAATTAGTTTAAATAGTTGCTTTTGTGAGTGGAAATTATCAAGATATCACTGTTAAGTGACGACTTCTTTGCATTTTAATCCTATTACGGAGCTCATTATTTGTTCTCACAATGAGGGATGAATAATTTGCATTTATTTACTTTTTTGTTTTTGGTTGGCTTGATAAATTTTAGTAAGGTGAAAGCTGTTTCTTGTAAAGCTAAATTGAGTATGTTAGCACAAAAACATTCCTGAGCCTGAGGAGCTACTTAACTGCGTAATCTTTCCTAAGATATGAATTCTCTCGGTTTGCAATTGCTTAATGGTGTTTTGAACTTGCTGGTTGTTGGCAGTTTATAACGTTCCATATCAGTTGCATGAGGATATTTAACGAGTATAACATCTTGGACTATTCCAATTCTTACCTTTAACCTTTTTAGTTTGATACTTCCAAATTTTCATATTGGAAGTTTGGTAAACTTGTTCATAAATAGACCCTCACCTTCTTCTATTTTGGGCGTCACTCTTTCTACTAAGTACGTCAGTCTTCATGTGCATAAAACTAAAATTCTTTTTTATAATGTCGATGTGCCACTTTAGTAAAAGGCAATGACATATCTATTTTCATTTACTAGATTGTAAGGAAGAGACATACAAATGAGTTCATCGTATGATCCGACACTTTGAATCGATCACCTCCTCATTTCAAATAGTAATTAATATTCACTATGTGCATCCCTTGTGCTATTGTCCTATCGACAAATTTCTTTGGACCATGAAATATTTGCAGGCATCGCCGCAAGGCGTGGAAAAAGAACACTATTAAACAGCTTGAAATACAAGTGGAAAGCAATTATGAAGATGATGGCCCAGTACATTAGTTCTAATCATGCACTTAGAACTCTACACACAAATCTCCCAAAGAATCAGTTCAGAACAACAACAACGACCCAGTGAAATTCCACGAGTGGGGTCTAGGGAGGGTAGTATGTACCCAGACCTTACCCCTATCTCAAGACCAAAGAATAAGTTCAGAACAAAATTTTGAAATACAATAATTTGGGAGTTCAAGTTTTGTCCTCATAGAATACAACAGATTATCACACAAAAATTGAGCACAAAGGGTTAAGATACTTTTATACCTGCTATTTTGGCCAATCCTAGTGAGGAAAACAATCTCTAATTTTGCCTTACCAGCAATCAATCTGGAGAAAAGAATGACGGGATCTATTTTGATTTTCACTTAGGTAGCATCCGACTTACAGACAGAGAATAATTTATGCCACATATCCATTTGAAGATGCTGCTTCCTCCCGGGTTTCCTTCACATAAAGTGGTATGCTCACCCCAAGTTCCCTTAATTGATTTACCAGGTCATAAAGAAATTCAAAGGTGAGTTTGGATTGTTTGTTAAAATCCTCTCTAACGCTTGGCTGGATCTTAAACCACTCTCCCAACATCTTGTGCACATGAGAGCGGATCATTCTCCATGGAACTGGATATCTCTCACAAAACTCCAAATATTCTTTGAGTAACTCAGCCTGGTCTAACTTACCATCTTCCCTGATTCCTGCACTGCCCAATCCCCATTCAGCAGTTCGATATCCTGCAAACAGTGCTGGATTCTCAAGAAGAGACTCTGCCGACAGTACCCCATCAGCACCAGTCTCATCCAAGCAGTTCTGTACATCATCCATGTGCCTTATATCACCATTAGCAAGGACAGGAATTCTAACAACGTTTCTAACAGCCTTGATGGCCTCCCAATTGGCTCTGAATTTCTTTCCATCTTTTTCATCCCGTGTTCGGCCATGCACCGCTAAAAGAGAACAACCAGCTTCCTCTAACATCTTTGCATAACTAAGTGTATCTTGCAAATTAGGGAAAACTCTGATTTTGCATGACACTGGAACATTAAGATTGTTAGCCAGCTTTTCTACCAGAGACTTGACAAGAGGAAGATTATCCATGAGGAATGCTCCATAATTCCCTCGCCTTGCAATGCGCTGGGGACACCTGTATGGAAAGTACAAGTTAAGCCAACTGAACTGATAAAGAAGCATGGCAAAATGATCTGATTAGATAATCCAGTACAAATAGTGACACACAAACCACTGTAATATGCATAAAGCAGTCTAATAAGAAATGCAGAGAGGAAAAAAAAAACATCACATTCAAAAGGGGTTGCTAATCTTTGACCTGGAAGAAAATCTGTTTTGTCCCTAAGCTCTTACTCCACGATTAAAAGGAGTTGCTTTACCGTAAGAATAAACTCTAGAGCAAGTTAAAAAGAGGCCAGAGAACCAGATACTGTCTACTGCTCATGTATTGGAGCTTGTTTCATGATCTTCACTCCTATAAAACCTATTTCAACTTATCGAAGTTGCTCTTCAGGTTTGGTATTGTATTGTGGACTCATTTTGGTACTTGTTTTAAAAGTATACCAAGGCTGGATAACAGCCCAGCATTTAGTACAGACATGGAGTCCACATTATTAATGTGGAGTATTAGCAATATGACATCAGTTAGTAGGGTTACTACTGATCCCCTGGTTAAGACCTTATAAGGATTAAAATGCCCTTCCTTACAAACTAATTTATTTTATTAGAAGAAGGCAATTCGGTCTTAATACAGTGCTGTCGAGGTTCGCTTGAACCCTGAAGCTAGGTGCAAAATAGACTGTAAAATAGCATAAGGTGGGGATGCTATTAGGAAGCCAGCAAGGAAATAGTTGCTTCAGGGAGAGAAATGGGTGGAAGCAAAGGAGAGTAATGGATATTTGATAAGATGGCATCTAGTGTTCTTACCACACTGTCCATATCAAAAACAAAAATAATGCTCATGAACTGACCTTATTGTGCCTCACTGAATTGCAAGTTGCAAGTAGAGCGTACAATGTAGAAAAACATTTTCTCAAGCAAACAGAGTTCCAGTTCTCGAGAACCTTCTACAGAATTCAATATGGTAATTGGTATCCTAATCCTTAATCCCTTGGTGAAGTTAAAAAATTTTATTCAAACTTCAAATAAGGTAAAGATATCCCTTTCTTCAAGCACAGTATATTGTTTCTTTCCATAGAGTCTTTTGATGTCATCGAATACAATTGCCAACAATTAAAGCTGCTGGAAACAGCTACTGAAATTTAGGAACACAATATCCACCGTAATCAATAGAAGTCCTAAGTTTGGACACAGGAAAAGATTGAGAAAGGAGGCTACCCCAAGTTGATGTCCACATAGTCACAATAAGGTTCTACTCTTCGAGCTGCTTCTAGCAAAATGTCTGGATCATTTGCGCAGAATTGAACAAAAAGTGGACGGTCCTCCTGCAATTTACAAAAAGAAAACAGGATAAACTAAGATATCAGGGCCATGAAGTGTACAAAATGTTCCAAAATATAAGCCAAAAAAGGTAAGCAAGAACTTGACAATACAAAGTAAATTCTGGAAGTAAAATGTAATTTTGTACCATGTTTTAGTTAAGAACATAGTGAATAATTCTTATCTAAAGCAACTTAAGTAAATAAAAATGAAAATTTTGACAAAAACTAACCAACAGTAATAAGCATTTCAAAAAAGCCTACAAGGTGAAAAAATGTTGACATGAACACAAACGGATTCGGTTTCAGCGTGTTGGAGGGATAATATCGATGTTCGGCTCAGAAATTTGCTATGGTCCTTGCTAAAGGAGAAGTGGCTTCATGAATGGTTGATCTGAGGAATGGTTATGACTTGCTGCAAGTTTCAGTTATTATTGACAGTATACGGAAGTGTTGGAATAAGGCTTTATTTGATAAGAGGTTTATTATCGATATTCGGTTGTTTGGAGCAACTGCTGTGACTAGAGGTTATCGCTACGAGTGTTTGAGTTATGTGGTATATCATGTAATTGCATCTGAGGTTGCAGGTGCGGTTCATCACAGCTGATTCGAACTTATTCAATGTATAAATGGGGGATTCTGATCTTAAAGGATGATTTCGAAAATGGAAACTTGGTCTCAAGGTTTATGGGCTAGGATGGATTGTGGAATTTCAGTTACATTGTGTTATCAGACCTATATGAGATAGGGTGATGTGGGATCACCCCCGGGTATCTGCATGGTAAGGTTATATAGCGACTTGTTGGCTTTTGGAACAACTATGGGCACGTTCGAAGACGAACGTATGTTTAAATGGGGGAGGATGTAATGACCCGAGCAGTCGTTTTGAACTTTTACACTTCGCTCGCTAGTTCTCGGGCATGACTAGCCCCGTATGATGTATTATGACTTATGTAAATCGTCGGTTTTGGTTTTCAGGATAATCAGAATAGATTTGGAAGATCAATTCTCAGCTTGAAGCTTTAAATTTGAAAGGTTTGACCGAGTTTTGACTTTTTAGTATTCGATCTCAGATTTGGATTTTTATGATTTGGTTAGCTCCGTCGGGTGATTTTGGACTTAGGAGCGCATCCGGAATGGGATTTGGAGGTCCGTGGTGGATTTAGGTTTGAATTGGCTAAATTGAAAATTTGGCATTTCCGGTTGGTAGTGGAAATTGTGATATCGGGGTCGGAATGGAATTTTGGAAAATGGAGTAGGTCCGTTGTGTCATTTGTGATGTGTGTGCAAAATTTTAGGTCATTCGGACGAGGTTTGATAGACATTTTGATCGAAAGCGGAATTTGAAAGTTTTGGAATTCTTAGGCTTGAATCCGAGGGTGATTTGATGTGTTGATGTTGTTTTGGGTGTTCCGAAGGTTGGAATATGTTTGAATGGTGATATGTAACTTGTTTGTATTTTTGGTTGAGGTCCCGGGGGCCTCGGGATAATTTTGGATAGTTTTCGGGAAGGTTGAACTTGAGAAATTGCAGCTGATGTTGCTGCTTCTGTCATATCCGCACCTGCGGATTGGGGACCGCAGGTGCGAGCTCCGCAGGAGCGGAAGAGAGGCGCAGGTGCGTGGAGGACCACGGTGCGGCTTGGTAACCACATCTGTGATGCCGCAGGAGCGGTGAGGCGACCGCAGATGCGAGGCCTGGTGAGATAAGTGAAATCCGCAGAAGCGGAAGCGCAGGTGCGCTTATGGGATCACAAGTGCAAAAGTGCTGGGCAGAATGTATAAAAAGGCCCCTTCGCGATTTTCAGTCATTTGTTCATCATCTTTGTGCGATTTTGGAGCTCCAAGCTGTGATTTCAAGCGGGAATCAAGTGTTGACAGAGAGGTAAGCTACTTGGGCCTTGTATCTTGTGTTTATGGTGATTATTTCATTGTTTAATCATGAAAATTAGTGGGAAAAATTAGAGAAAGAGCTGGGAGATTAGGGCTTAAAATTGGAGACTTGAGGAGCCATTTGAGGTCCGATTTTGATGATCTTGGTATGTATAGACTCGTGAGAGGATGAGGATTCTATTGGTGTGACTTTTATCGGATTCCGAGACGTGGGCCCGGGGGTCGGGTTTGGACCAATTTCGGAATTTTTGGTATAATTTGATTATTTTCGCATGGGCTTCGTTCCCTTACTATATTCTAATGTTATGATTCTGATTTTGGGTATATTCGACGCGAGTTGAGGCCGAGGCATGAGGCAAAGGCGTCGCGGAGTAGTATCTCATCCGGTTTGAGGTAAGTAATGATTGTAAATGCTGTCTTGAAGGTATGAAACCCCGAATTTCACATCGTTGTGCTACTTTGAGGTGACGCACATGCTAGATGACGAGCGTAGAGCTATGCACCATTGGGGATTGTGACTTGGTCCATCCCGTACGACTGTTAAGTCGTACAATTGATTGAAAATTGTTTGATATCATTGTGTTTCGAAAAGTATTGCTATGTTTTGGGCGGAATGTCATATTTGGGCCCCGTGCCAACTGTTTTGGACCCTTATGGGGCTTTTTTTTTACTACTGTTCCTTACTGTTTTGACTTAATAATTGTACTCAGTCATGCTATGTTTTATTGATTTCTTAACTCAGCCTTATTTACTAAATTTTGATACTATAAACGATATTTTGAGCCGAACGCCCTGTTTTACTAATAGTCCGAGTGTCTTGTGAGGTTGATGGCTGAGATAGACCGAGAGTCTGATTGTGAGGTTAATGAATGAGAGAGGCCGAGAGCCTGGTTGTGAGGATTATATATTTATGGATCGGGCTGCACGCCGCAGTAATATATATGTGTGTATGTGTGTGTGTGTATGTGTGTGTGTGTGTGTCGGGCTGCACGCCGCAGCGATATGTTGGATCGGGCTACACGTCGCAGCGATATAGCGCTTGGGCTATAGGATCCCCTCCGGAGTCTGCACACCCCTAGTGAGCGCAGTCGACTATATATGTAGATCGGGCTGCACGCCGCAGCGATAAATGGATCGGGCTGCACGACGCAGTGGTTATTATATGGTACCTATAGAGCGTGAGCGCTGATTTATAAGAGTTGAGTCATGAGTGATTGAGAGGCTTGCCCGAGGGGCTATATATACATATACGAGTGATGCTTTGCCTGAGGGTCCTGTTTAGGAAATTACTGCTTTCACTCATCTTTATACTGAGCCTCTATTGAAAATGTTAAACAAATGTTTTAAACAACCTTCATTTAAATTGGAGTTTTACGAGGTGTTCGGAATTTAGTCACTGATTTGGCTTTATTACTTCTACTGAGATTTTTAAGTTATGCAATGGTTATGAATTTTTGTTTGCCCGAAGGGCTGTATACGAACTATGTTTTGGCCGAGGGGTCGATCATGATTTTTATCACTTTCACTATAAATTACATTGAACTTCTACTGAAACTGTTAGAGAGACATTTTTCAAAGGATTTTCCCGAAATGGGAGTTGAACGAGATAATTTGATTTGTATCCTGTTTTGGAAACATGTTGTACCCACTGTGGTGCTCTGATGTGGTTTACGCGATTTTTTACTGCTCAGACTTTATTTACTTTTATTACTTACTGAGTTGGTGTACTCACATTACTCCCTATACCTTGTGTGCAGATTCAGGTATTTCTGAGCTCGGTGGCAGGTTCATCGGAGTTAGCAAGGTAGCTGCTTGGCGATCGCAACCCTGATTTTCTCCCTCCTTATTCTTCCATAATGTATTCTTGTGATTTTCCCGGCCATATTGGTCTTGATGTTGTTAGACAGTTGTAGTAGATGCTCATGACTAGTGATACCCCGATGTCGGGCTTGTGAATTTATTTCGCACTGTTCATTTAGATTTATATCACGAGATTATTGATTAATAAATGGTATAAAAATAACTTTCATTGAATAATGGTTGATTCGGGAGTTGTGTCGGCTGACCTAGTTTCACGATAGGCGCCATCACGACCGGGTCGGTTTTTGGGTCGTGACACTACCCTCCCCAGACCCCACTGTGTGGGATAATACTGAGTATGTTGTTGTTGTAAACATTTTACAAGGGGAAGAGGCACAATCATAGACAACTGAGTAAATCAAATCACCCCACCCTTCTAAAAAATTTAAAAGGACAAAAAAAACAGTTACTTTAAAGTAAAAAAACAACTTCAACAACTATGCAGCTAGTTAGGGTAGCTATATAAATCCTTTATCTCCATTCATCTTCTTTCATTCTTATACTCAATAATTTAAGACAACTTACAAGTTATCAGAAACTACGAACTCTCTGAATCAGTGTTATCAAAGGTGAAAAACGCAAAAAAGCTTTAAGGTGTGGTGGGGGTTTAAGCGCAAAGCGCAAATAAAGTGTCGGCTTTAATAAAGAAAGGCGCAAATGGAGAATAACTACAAATATATATGTGTAGTCCAAGACTAATATCTATAAGCATGAATACCAAATAAATGGACAAAGAAATTGAAGAAAATTTACGATAAAGTAAAACATCAATTGTTTAGTGTCGCCTCTTTAGGATTACACTTATTGATAAGCAAAAGTATGTCTTAGAGTCTTGATGACAACACGGAAGCGCCCGCTAAGCGAGACGAAGTGCTCAACATGTTTTGAGCATCATTTGAGAGCTTAAGCGCGCTTTAAGCATGCCTTTGATAACACTGCTCTGAATGTGGCATTTTTCCCATGCTAAAGGTTACTCTAAAGTAAAACTAACAAAAATCCCAGTACCAAAGTCTTTACATATCTTAATTTCCATACAACAATGAAAAGCATATAATCCTTTTGTCCAATTTATATGACACACTTTCTATTAGTCTGTCTAAAAGTAATAACTTTCTATATTTAAACCCAACTTAACTATAAATTGTTCATTATAATCTTAATAATATATTTATAGCCAAACAAATATCTATAATTTGTTTTAAACCATAAGTTTCAAAAATATTTCTTATTTGCTTAAACTTCATGCTCAGTTAA